GTGCTGTTATAGAGTAGAGCAGGTGGATAGTGACATAACAGATGGTGAGAGAACACCTTATACACTGTCAAGAACATGCTAATGGGCGTTGAAAGAGGACAGGGCAAGATTGTGTGAGGATCATTACGCTCTGCACAAGAAACTGTGACCTCCTTAGGAGCAATTCCATAAAGTAATGTGTAATACTTCTACCTCTGCAGTCAGTTATAATCCAATCGGAGAATCAAGGTATCATAAGGTCAATGTCAGAACACAATATAAAGTAGTGTGATGTTTGATTCTACGTTTTGTTGTTGGGTTTTTTCCTTTTTCCTTTTTTTTTTTTTTTTTTTTTTTTTTTGAGACAGGGTTAGGGTTAAGGTTAGCCTTGAACTCACTATGTAGCCCAAGCTAGCCTCAAACTTGCAGTGATCCTCTTTCCTCAGCCTTCCAAATGCTGGGATGACAGTCTAGTATGTTAAAGTGAAAGAGATAAGAACAGTGAAAATTTAGGGGAAAGAAGAGATTAAGGAAAGCTGGACAATGTAGTGTGGAAGGGAGTTTTGAGTGCTATTCAAAGAGATAGGCAGTAAGGGATTAGGCCAAATATGCATGAGTTGGAACTGCCTGGAGTTGATAAAGGAATCTGCTTTATTGGGCTGAGAAGCAAGGTCCTGCTGGAGATGGTGATGCACAGCTGTAATCCCAGCTGCTTGGGAGGCTGAGGCAGGAGAATCGCAAGTTTGAGGCCAGCCTGGGGAAACTGAGTAAAAATTTGTCTCAAGAAAGAAATAAAAAAAAAAAAAAAGAAAAAAAAAAAGAAGGAAAGAAGGAAGGGAGGGAGGGAGGGAGGCTGAGGATGTAGCTCCGTGAAAAGGCCCTAAATTCAATGTTTGTCTTTTTTTGGCCAGAAAATGATATCATGCAAATAGGAGACCAGAGACAGGAGATTGGAGGAGGCAGGAAAACCAGTTGGGAGGTCACTGGGAGAATTTTTGAGATAAGGTCCTATTGTGGGAGTGTGAAAGAAGACACTTATTTGAGGGGCACTAGAAGAAACCGTAGCACTCGCCACTGGCTGGCTGTGGAGGAAGGAAGAGGGCGGGTGACTCAGGAAAAGCCTCAGAAGCAAGCGTGTGGAGGGAGGATCTTCAGGTGGAAAGGGTTTGCAAATGGAGACAGAGATTTACATATCAGCAGTATCTTACTCCAAACTGATTACCCTATACAAACCGTGGAGTTTCACTGGGAGATAAGCGGGTTTAATAGACACAATGGTTTAATAGACACCAGGGAGCAGCTCCTGGCTCCAAAGGAAAGAGCACCCTGCCCTTGGGGTTCTGAACCCTGGTGGAACCCCAGGGTTTCTTCATGATTTCACTGCGTATACTTGGACAAAACACTTTAAAATTCACTGGCCAGTTTCTTTATGTGTAAAATGGATATATATAATATATCACTTATTTGGGGGGCCTCTGTGAGACTTATTTTGGCTTTGTGTTATCTTTCTTTGCATTTTTGGCTGGGGCATAGCTCAGTGGTAAAGCATGCGCCTAGCCCTTTCTTTGATACAACACACACAAAAACAGATTTTCTTTTTTTAAATCGGTACCGGTGATTGAACTCAGGACTGTATACTTGCAAGGCAGGCTTATGTCGCTGAGCTAAACTCTCAGCCCCCACGTTATTTTATTTATCCCTAGACTGTACATTTCATATAGTTAAAAATCCCAAATTTTGTGGCATAAAACAATATCCCTTTTATTTGCTTACAGTTCTGTTCTGAAGCCCAATACAGTGGCTCATCCTTGTAAACCCAGGTACTCTAAAGACTAATGCAAGAGGATAGCAAGTTTTAGTTCAGCCTATGCAACTTACTGAAATCCTGTTTCAAGAGTTAGGGGGTAAAAAAGGTTTTTTTTGTGTGTGTATGTGCAATAGCTCAGTGGTAACGTGCTTGCCAGATGGATGAGACCCTGGATTCATTTCCCTGTAGAGCAAAATCAAATAAACAAAGAACAATTCTGCACTCTGGGCTGGGTTCACTCTTGTTCTGCTATTCTTTCCAATGGTCACCAATGTGTTTAAAGTCACCTAGAGAGCTGGCAGGGTGGGCTGAGGCTCAGCTCAGAAGGTAGTTGGATTTTTATCTCCCTCCACTTATCTTATGGTCTCTTTTTCTCCGTGAGGTCTCTCTAGTGAGGTATTTGACTATTTACCTAGTGGTTCAGATCTTTCCGAAGTACAAAACTGGAAACTTCTCCGCCTTAGGGGACAGGAAAGAGGTACGGGGGAGAGTTCTACACAGCCTCACAGCCACTTTCTCCCAGTTAAGGTAAGTCACTGGCCCCTCGGAGGTTTGAAAGGAAAAGACTAAGGGTGTCAATAAAAGGAGGTGGCCCACTGAAGCAGCAATGTAGCAGACAGCTGCTGTGCTGTCTCCAGTGTGTAAATGAGTAAGCCATGGTGGAGGGAGACTAAGTTCCTCGCTCGTTGTAGAGGGTGGAACTCTAACAGAACCAGGTGCTTCAAAGTGTATATTTTAAGTCATGGGTCAACAAATAAAATTTGTAGCATTTAAAATCTTGTGTGGTAGGTACTTTATTGTCTCTAATTTACATAGGAAGAAACCTAGGAATAAAGAACTTAAATACCTTACCCAAGGTGACTCAGCTATTTTGCTCCAGAAATTATACATTTACCCAACCACATGGGCAACACTCAGTATATACAAAACAAAACACTCTGTAAATGTGATTTAACCTGAAACTATTATTTTTGGAAGGGCTGGGAGGACAATAAATATTATGGAACTGTTTACTATTTTATATATATGCTGTGTGGGTACGAATTTATCTTGAGACAGGGTCTCCCTGTGTTGTTCAGGCTGGTCTGGAACGCCTGGACTCAAGTCTCCTAAGCAGATGGACCTACGGTTTGAATTAGCATTATATCTCATAGGCTGCTTGGGAGCTTGGAGTCTTGGAGTGATCTTGTGATCAGGGTAATTTCATTTGAGACATCTATTCCTCCTGCCCTCCACTATTTGTTGAAGCTTGGCACGTAACTATTCTGTATCCTTGCTCATTCGATCCCCACCCCAATTCTCACCTTCCTTCTGAGGGGAGGACCTTTCTGGAGCACGGCTGACCTCACCATTCCATCATGTAATCATCACATCAGCCCTGCAGCTTCTGAATTAGTAACCTTTTGGTCCCATTTACTTCCTAGTTCCAGTTTCCTCCCTGTGTCATTGCCACTGGTGGCTTCTGAGGACAGCTTGCAAAACCTGCACTTCCCATGGAGTGACCTATAGTGGCTTCGCCGCCTTTCCTTTCCCAAGCCTATAGTCAGAGAACTGCATGGAAAACACAGATTCCAGAGGCTCCTGAAAGGAGCCAAGCTCTCCGAAGGTGATCTCTGAAGCTTCATCTGTGAAGGGGATCCCCAAATTGTCTTGGTCTACCCTGATCTTTCTCAGCCTGCGAGGAGTCTGGAACCAGCTAATCCGGAGGTAGCTCATTTTGGGATAGGATGAAATCATTCAACAGTGTTCTCAAAATCCTACCTTCCCCAAAGCAAAACTGTGCAGTGGCCTTATTCTCCTTCAATTCCAGTTTTTAATTTTGACTCTGTTTCATCCTTATAAAATGTTGGGGCACAATGCTTGTTGTTTAAAGTTATACAGCTGGTCGTGTGTGTTACATACATTGCCTCATTTGGCTTATTTAATAAACTGCTGCTTGGTTCAATGGGCAGAACAGGGCCCACGTAGAAGTGACTTACCTCCAGCCACCCCTTCTCACCCAGCCCCACTCCCAACTGGTGATGAGCTGAAGGACAGAAGGAATTGAGCTGCTCCGGATGGCAAGGCCACCTCCCTCTTCTTTGCAGCTGTCTTGCCAGGGTTGACCTCTTCCCTTAGGCAGGGGTCTCCACCCCGCTCCCAGATCCAGGCGGTGAGGGTGGGTGGCTTTTTCCGGGTCACTGGTGCACCGTGTCTACTCCCAGCCACCTGCTCCGGCTCTATCCCAGCTCCAGGCTCCCTGGAGGGCGGCAGGGACATTCCAATCCTCCCACTACCCGCGCGGATGTCGCGGGGGAGGGGGGCGCAATTGCTCTGTCCTTCCAGCACCCAGCTTTGACCCGGTTTCTTCTCAACCCCTAGTGGCATAAATCACCTCTAAGAAGAAACTACGGATTGGTGGTTGGTGAATGGTGCGAAGGTTGTTTGTTTACAGCCCCACCGATTGGCGAAGCCGCGACTCCAGCAACAGAGGCACTTTCTGGGCACAGTCTGCGCTCTCGCAGACAACTGAAAGCCAGGCAGCCAAGATGCCTCCTCACCAGACCAAATATGGTCACAAGCGCTAAGCAGCCTCCCGTGGAAAGGCTGGCCTTCGCGGTGTCTCCCTGCGCCGGCTGCACCCGAGCCCGACCTCTGGCACAAGCGTGGGTCAGTGCAGCGAACCCAGCACTCCGCGCCCAGCTCCAGGGAGGGCGCAGCGGCCAAGACCGATCTTTCCTCCGCCTCCGCCCCTTGCCCGCGTGCCCTCCGCCACTGTCGGCTGGGTTTCGGTCCACAACCTCTAGCTTGAACAGGCTCGGGCCACTTTCCCTTTGATCCCTCCCCAAGTCCGTGGTAAACTCAAAGGAATGCAGATCCAGGGCTCCGGGGGAGAGGTCCGCGCAGCCGCGCGGAGTAGGTGGGGGCACCCGACTTCTCTCGCCCTGTAAAGTACCCATCCGGCCAGGGCTTTCTGGAGCAGGGGGCGGCGTGGTGGAGGAAGGGGAGGGGCGAGCGGGGGCAGGCAGGCCCAGGACTTGGAGGTCATGCATAATTCAACAGCTCAACTTTCGGCCCGCCTCTTTCCTGGGGGTGGGAGTTCGCTCCCAACTTTGTTTATGGGACAGTCGGGAGCTGTGGCGGCCGCGCTGTCTGCCTCTCCTCCGCCTCCTCCTCCCCGAGCGTGAACTCCTGAGGCCAGCTCTGGGGATGTGAGAGCCGAAGCCCATCGGCTGCCGGGCACCAAGTCAGGGCGGGATCTGCCTGCCGGCTTCTCCGCTCCAGCTTCGTAAACCCAGCAAGCGCCCGAGCCACCCGGGCCCGACGGCTCGCTCGGGCGGGACGGCGGCCGCCGCGCGCTCAGGCTCGGCTTCGCTGTGCGCCCAGGTGGGAGCCGCCGGGGCCGGCGGGGCTTGGGCTTCCGGAGCCGGACCGGGGCAGGCCGGGCCGAGGCGTCTAGGGCGGGTGGACGGGTGGGTGGGGGGCCTCCTGGCCTGGAGCGCCGCCAGCGCTGTGGCAACTTCCCAAGTGCAGCTCTTCTCAGCCTCCCCCCACTCCCCTGCTGCTCCTCCTCCGGGTAACTTCTGAGCTTCAAGAAAGTTGCATAATTCCCGAGGTCAGGAGGGACCCCTCCCCCTCCGGCTGGTCTGCCTGCTGAGCGTCTGGGATCCCGAGGCGGACACCTAACTGTCTCCTCCTTTTCTTTTCTGCCCCCCCAACCTCCGGCTGCTCCGATTTAAAATAAAACGCTGATCTGACTTCCTTTCTCCCTGCAGAAGATGAATCCGTCCTCAGCGCCCCCTCCGCTCCCGCCGCCCGGGCAGCAAGTGATCCACGTCACGCAGGACCTCGACACGGACCTCGAAGCCCTCTTCAACTCTGTCATGAACCCCAAGCCCAGCTCGTGGCGGAAGAAGATCCTGCCGGAGTCCTTCTTCAAGGAGCCGGATTCAGGATCGCACTCGCGCCAGTCCAGTACCGACTCGTCGGGCGGCCACCCGGGGCCCAGGCTGGCCGGCGGCGCCCAGCACGTCCGCTCGCACTCGTCACCCGCATCCCTGCAGCTGGGCACCGGCGCGGGCGCGGCGGGCAGCCCCGCGCAGCAGCACGCGCACCTTCGCCAGCAGTCCTACGACGTGACCGATGAGCTGCCGCTGCCCCCGGGCTGGGAGATGACCTTCACGGCCACTGGCCAGAGGTACTTCCTCAAGTAAGTCACCCTAAGGCCGAGGGGGACACAGCAATGATGCCCAGGGCGCGCGCGCGAGTTCGTGTGTGTGTGTGTGTGTGTGTGTGTGTGTGTGTGTGTGTGTGAGCGTGTGTGTGAGAGAGAGAGAGACAGACAGAGAGACAGAGACAGAGGGAGAAAGGTCCCCCCCAGAGATCTGGAAAGCTAGAAGTAAGGAGTGAATTTCACAGAGTTGGGCTTGTCTTCTGAGGGATCTGCAGCTGGGAAGTGTCCGATGGAGTTCATCCACTGTCCTGAAAGTGCCAAGAGATTCAGAACACAGAAACCCCTAAATTTAAGAGCAAAAAAGATGATTTTGCCCTGAATCCAGGCCTTAGGCCTGTAACCCCTTGTCGCCTGCGCTAACAGCTCTTAAGTCAGTTAGCCACCCCCGAGCCATGTCTAACTCCAAGATAAAAGAGAAAAGTTGGGAGACTGAGAAGAGGAGAATCTTTTTGGTGGAGTAGGTGATCTGCTCCAAAAAATCACTTAGCTTTTTGATAGGGTGAATAGTAGACCTTACTGTTCCCACTTGGGTGACATAAGGGCCAAAGACATGATGTAATTAGCTACTGATGAAGTAGTTGTGGGCTGGACCAATCGGGTGGAAATTGGGTCAAGAGTTTTGTTATGTCATACTTGGTAACCTAAAATACCATCACATCGGGAGACTGCTTTTGTTATTTCCCTTCTGTGCTGCAGCTTTTTATTTATTTATTTATTTGGTTTTTTTAAGGCAGGGCTTTGCAGCGTAGTTCAGGCTGACCTTGAGCTCATTCACTGTGTAGCCCAGGCTGGCCTTGAACTTTCAGTGATCTTGCCTCAGCTTTCTGAGTGTTGGGATTACAGGAATGTGCTACAATGCCCAGCAACATTTGATGTAATGAATTTTACAGGACATTCAAATTTCTGCATTAGACTTTACAGGAAAACATAGTCTCAAGCACTAGAAGAAATTATTTTGATTGTGGTACCCTAAGATAATTATATTCCTGTGGAGGAACCAAGCTGCAACTGGAAATGTAACCAGTAAGGTCATAGGGCCAGGCTATCCAAGGCCTGAAAGCAGATGGCTCGCTGGACCACTCGGTCCGGGGTTGTCTGTGTTTGGCTGGCATTCGCTGCCAACAAAAGAAAGAGCTAAGAAAGAACTTGCCTTAGAGTTCATTTTAAAGCTCATATTTCTTTGGCTTGGAGTAGTGTTAGTTCAAAAAATCCAAGGTGTTAAGATGTATGTGTTATTTTAAAAGTTTAATCAAGATCTTCTTTGGAACTGACATTTGGTGCTTTGCTGTGAGAGAGCCCTGAGAATCGGTGTGCTGGGATGGATGAAGTTTATTGTAGCCACCTCTGACTCATGCTAGTGACCAGTTCTTGTTTCTTCCCCATCCCTAAGCTGTTGACATCTTGTGTAGTTGTACTTTTGTTTTGAGGCTGGCACAGTTCTAAGACCCGAAACATGCTTGGTGGTGGTTTATTCTGAAGCTGGTCTTCTCTGGGTTACGGAGCCATGGTGTAGACACGTATTGGTGCTCTGATTTCTAAGTGGCTAGTAGGAGTCACGTATATAATAATAACATGACATTTCCAAAATGTGATGAGAGTGTCCCAAAGAATGGAATTAATTTCTGTCTCTTCTCTCTCTTTCTTGTTCCTTTGTTCATTTCTTTTTCTTTTTAAAAATTGTTTATTGGGATATTTTAGGTAGGTATAATCATTACATTCATTGTGGGCCCTTCTTTCTTTCTTTCTATTTTTTTTTGCAGTGCTGGGATTTAATCCCAGAACCTTTACACTGAGCTACATCCCCAGCCATTTTTTATTTAGAGACAGGGTCTTGATGTTACCAAGTTGCCCTGGCTGGGTTCAAACTTGTGTTCTTCCTGCCTCAGCCTACTGAGTACTGGGATCACTGGCATGTGCCATCACACCCAGCCTCCAGATGATTTTTAAACTGTTTATGAGTACACACATGTACATGGTATATAATAAATATAGATGTGATAATTGCCAGGTGGGCTAGGGATTTAGCTCAGTGGCATGAGCACCTGCCTGGCAAGCGTGCAGTCGTGAGTTCGATCCTTGGTACCAAACAAAAAGATTCAGATAATTGCCAGGCATGCATATAATTCCAACATTCAGTAGGTTGAAACAGGAGGATCATCATGAATTCAAGGCTACCCTAAGCTATATAGTGAGTCTAAGACCAGCCTATACTACATAGCAAGACTCTGAAGAAAAAATATGGTTATTAAAAATATAAAATAAAAGCCAGGCTTGCCTGATATCTATAGAAAGCTAAACGAAAAAGACCACAAAACAAAAATGCCTTTTATGCATGTGTTTCAAATGATTAGAGTAAACCAGAACAGTTTGTGATTTTTGGTAAACACGGAAGTTCACTTTTAGTTTAGAGGAGTTGCTATGATCCTCTTTGCCCACCTCCCCTCCTCTACTCCCTAACCCAGGGCTGAGTACAATTTCATTTCACTTAGAGTAGTAGATGAAGATGACAGCTGAAAAGCATGCAGTAAGCTGGCCTAATCTGATGCTATCCATGGAAAATTTTTGTCCAAGTGAATAGGAGAATTTAAGAAATGAAGTCATTGGGATTGACTATGGTCTTTCAGAATAGGCAATCTGCCAAGAATTCTCTTAAATTTCTTTTAGAGCTTTGTTTAAAGTTTGAAGAAAGTAAAATGTGTGTATTTTGTATGTGTGTATGTGTGGTTTTTTTGAGACAGGGTCTCACTGTGCAGTCCAGGTTGGCCTCAAACTTACTGTGTAGCGCAGGCTGGCCTGCGACTCTTGGTGATCCTTCTGCCCATACCTCCTGAGTGCTGGGATGACAGGCATCTGCTAGTATGCCTGACAGGGAGGAAGTAATGTTACATATCACACTTTGTTACACAGCCTTGAAAGGCAGAGTATTTCGGTGGATTAGAAGCTTGAGAAATGGTAGCAACTGACTCTTGACATAATTTTCTTAAAATCTATTACCTGGCACCATCATCTGTGAAATGTGGCTGCCAGAAAAATCCTGTTCTGCTCTGCTGAGAACTGGGGGCTGTTTGTATCAGAAATCAATGGAATTTAAAATTAACAAGGATCAATTTTTGCTTTTTTTTTTTTTGCTTGAAAACAGAGGCCAGCACAGGATAAGGGCAGGAGTTTGGGAAAGTCCTGCAGTGATTAGTGGTGGACCCTGAACTGGACCTCTGTTAGTTTCCTCTCCCCACCCCCACCCTGCGCCCTGTCACTTCCCTAGTTGAACAATGAGCTTTACGGGAAGCACAACTGCAGCATCCCAGAAGCTTGAATATGTTTTTTGTCATTTTCTCAGGTAAGACTGTTCCCAGGTCTATGGTAAAACTGCTCTTGGGGACCTCCCAGAGGTTGCCTTTCCTGTGCATTTGCTGTGTGTTCAGGTATGAGGGCGCTGCGTAGAAAGGAAATCATGGCCTCAGAAAGATCTGTTACTCCTCTCCTCCAGGCCCACAGCTCAGGCTGCATGCTACGCAGTGACCTGGCACAGTAACTTAGCACATTGACTCTGAAACTGAGTACATCATGGTTCTGTTTCTTTGTTTTGAGACAGGGCCGCACTGTGTGGTTCAGGCTGGCTTTGAACTCCCTTTATAGCCCAGGCTGGCCTCGAACTTGTGACAGTCCTCCTGCTTCAGCCTCCTGAGTGCATGTGCCAGTAGGCTCGGCCCCATTGAGATTTGTAAGTTTCTGGTTAAAAACAATACTTTTTTATGAGTACACTTGTGATACATAACAGGTACATGCATCATGGGGAATTGGTACACATACATACAGTGCAGCGTCTTGACCCTTTTTATGTCTCCTCTGTGCGCCTCCTTTGGAATCGTGCTTTTTGTACATAAACCAGGAAACAGACTTTTAAAAAAGAAAATAGTCTTGTTGCAGTAGGTTTATACTACAAACATTCTTATGGGGTACTTTTATTTGAGTAGCATAACTGTAGGAAAAGGTTATGTCCTGTTCTTTCATAAGTTTCTAGCTATAGCATCTGGCTGCACTTTTTGGTGACAATTTTAGCATTTTTCCTTTTCTGAAATTCATGGTTAAAAACTATTTCTGTCAAGGAAACCTACACTGGGTGACAAACGCTGTAGGACAGAAGGATTTTTGTTAGAGGCTACGGTTTCCTTCACCTCCTCAGGACTCCCATGAAGACCTTTTAATTTTTGTGAAAACTGTTGCTATATTTAATTCTTAGTTTGTTACTTTTGTAACTAGTTGAGATATATTTTTAGCATGTTTATTTATTTACCAATTTGACTTCAAATGTGAAGGGAGAATGTAGTCCCTTAAACTAGTTTTCTTTCCTGTCCCAAGTTTGTTACTGATTTGATTTTATTGTTGCTACTGAGGACTGTTGCAGGACCCTTGTGCGACTTAACATCCCTAGTCCTTTTCAAAGTTTTTATGTTTTGAGACAAGAGTCTTGCTAAATTGTTCAGACTGAGCTCAGAGTCAAAGGCCTTCTGTCTTAGCCTCTCAAGAGTGCTCAGATTATAGGTGTGTATCACCACACTTTTGGATTTAAATTATTTTGATTGTTAGGTTACTTTTGTTATTTTTTTGTCAGTTTTTGATACTATTATATATATATATATATATATATATATATATATATTTTTTTTTTTTTTTTTTTTTTTTTTTTTTTGGTGCTGGGGATCGAACTCATGACTGCGCATTTGCAAGGCAGGTGCTTATGTCCCTGAGCTAAATCCCCAGCCCAATGCTATTATATTTCTTGATTTAATATTTTATAAATCAGTGATACTTAGATTTCTACCAATTCACCCTTGGTTTTGTTTTGTGTTTTTTTGAGGCAGAGTATCAGTGATGTATGAGAAGTGAATTCAGATAAAAAGTCTATTAAACCCCTCAATATACTTTTCTGTGCTCTGAACACACTGACCCTATGATTCTTGCTACTTTTTAAGGTA